TATTTTGATATATGCACCTAGATGTATTTGCAAACAGGTAACAGTCTTTTGAACGATCTACTTTTTTTCCCCCCTTTGGCATTTTTGAGTCCATTCAGAGAGTTGAGATACCAAAAAACTATTAACAGTGAAAACACCTTGTTTCCATGTACCAGGATACACAATGAGCCTATTAAAGGATAAAACATGTGATGGCAATTGGAAGTTGAGTTTTTCAGGTGGAAATAGGCTTTCAGCTTAACTCAGTCTTTGATCAGTTTGACTTCCAGTTAAAGTCCTGTCTGAATCCCTAAGCTTGGTTAAATATAAAGCAAACACAAAGATTGGTAGTTCTAACGAAACAGGCCTGCTGTTCTGCTTCCAAAAGGTCACACCATGGAAAACCCTGTGGGGCAATTCTACTCTTCGCACATGTCACCATGAGCTGGAATTGACCCAATAATGGCAACTTGGTGGCAACTGTAACTATGTATTATATGTAATAGCTCTTGTTGCATATGGCAGGCTTTGATGAAATTGTATAACTGGGTCTGTGTGTCTTACCACACCATAAGCACTAACTATATCTTGTTCATATTGTGTTCTCAGCACAGTGTGATACTGGTTCCCTGTTTTGTAGGTCTTTTCATTTTGAAAACTCGTCAGAAATAAGAGTCATTTTCCTAAGTCCTAATTGGTTCCTTGGAATTTGGTCATCTAGAGAACCAGAAGCTGTGCAACAGGTGTAATTTGATGATAAAGATACACTTCAAAGTGATGCTCCATGCTGTTAAAATCTAATGTAGGAAAGCTTGGCTTTCTGGTTCATTCTCTCTGCTCCTCCTGTTGATGCTCTTCTGAGTGTATGCGAAAGGAGCCTCTGCAGACTTGTCGGTTAGGCATTGGGGCTGCTAACTGTAGGGAAGGTGGTTCAAACCCACCAGCTCTTTCGTGGGAGAAGGAGACCTGTCTTGGAAACTGTATAAGGTCACTGTGAGTGGGAACCAACACGATGGCAGGGGGTTTGGGTTTGTTTTACGTATAACGTGGAAGAGCCTTAGTGACACATTTGTTTAGTGCTCAAGCTGTGAAGGGAAAAGCCCGGTTTTGAACCTACCAGCTGCTCCAGGGGTGAAAAATGAGGCAGTCTGCTTCTGTAATATTGTAACCTTGGAAACCCTGTGGGGCAGTTCTCCTCTGCCCTGTAGGATTGCGATGAATTAGAATCAACGAGGCTGCAAATGGGTATGTGTGTGTATAAGCCAAACTCCCTGCCAATGACTTGATGCCAAAGCGCCCCATCTTTCTGCCAAGGAAAGAGCTGCTGACCTCGTGGTTAGCTGCTAAACGAGTAGTCCACTATGCTAGGAGGACTCCATATATAGGTGTATATGGGTCTGTGGATATACTTATTTGGAGAGAGCCTGCTGGCTTCGTGGTTGGCAGTTGGAACACAGCAGGAGCTTTACAGGAGAAAGGGGGCAGTCAGCCTCTATATTTACCTATGTGGAAGCTGTATGGGATTGTTACACACCGTGCCTTACAGGTTCACTATGAGTCAAAACCAAGGCTATATGATATATATGCATTAATTTTAAAATAAAAATTGGATTATCTCTGCCACCCACACATGTGTTAAGCAGATGATCCTGCCCTCTAACTTGATAATTAAGTCAAAACCAATAAGCAAGCTCTCTTGTATGGAATTCCAGTCACCTTCGAGCCCCCTCTAACTAGGGTGACCCCGGATGCATCGGAGTAAAACTGCTTCATCCTGTAAGATGGTCGAGCGGCAGCATATGACCTCCAACTTCCCCGAGGGGAAGTAAAATCAAACTCCACATCAGCTCAAGGCTGATTCCTTTGAGAGAGTAGCCAGACATAGTGTTACCCCTCTGATCTCCTCCTATCAATTCTGACCCCAAACATCCATCCCTCGCAGGGCCCTCCACAACTCTGCTGGGTTTGGAAGTTCATTCCAATGGCCACCCAGAACTCAGACCATACAATTCATGCAGTTTAATTAGGGAAATTAGCTAGTTACACTTCAGCATCAGAAATGGACAAGATCGCATCCTTTGGTCAGGGTTGCTTCCTCTAAGCCTTGCCGTGGGCAAGCATGGTCTCTCTCCCTTTCTCTGGCCCTCTCAGCCACACAACACAGCCCCTTGGCCTCCGCTCTGTTCAGACAGTTTTCCAAAGTTCCTTTAGTTCTGCCAATAGATGCCCAAAAGGTATTCCACACCACTGTATGTCTCAACCTGAAGGTGCTCAGTTCTAGCTCCATGGATCAGCAAACCTAGCTACCCCAATTAGGTGCTGGGGAACCCCCGCCCCCTCCAGTGAGCCTTATGCCAAAAAAGGCACTCAGCCTTACTTGTTCTGAGCATCTTGGGCTCTGCCTTTTGACCTGGCTGCTTCTCTGGTGTCACAGCTTTCTGTCTCACAGCTTGAGATGATTCAACCCAAAGGGCTCTTGTGGTACACAAAACCGCTGACTCCACTACCTGTTCTTTCTTGGTGGTAGTTAGATCCCTCTTCTTGTTTCTGAGATCTTATACCCAGCAGGATGGCTAAATTGACCAGTCCCCACAATAGATTTCTTATCTTGCTCCATTAATTGTGTATCTGCTTCAAATGCTCCCCAGTGGGAATTCCCATCATGAAGTACCTCCTGGCTGGTGTGAATAGAACAGCCTTGTTTCTGCCTTTTTAAGATTGGGGGAGCAGCAGAAGTTTCCTTTGGTCCATCCAGTCTCCTGTAGTGCTGGGAGTTACAGCCTGTGTAACAACTCTTTCAGTGTGCTATATGCATCCCATTTCGTAGTAACCGACTTGCAGTCTCTAGCCTGCCTGGGGTAAGCACTTTCCCAGGTACCTCCTCTTCTATGAATGCATTCTCCTATGAATGATCCTTATGTTGCTGTCCCTGTCAAACCCATACAGGAAAGCCATGCCACAAATCCGACAAGGCTTCTTAAATGGTTGCTTTGCTTACATACACCTTACTCGTGGGATGCTGGAATAAATAGCCAGATCAAATAATTCACGGCACCATCATGTGACTTATAATGGCTGATTGTTTTGGAACTAGTTTGCCCACCTTTTCTTCCAAGGTGCTTCTAGGTGAACTCAGACCGCTGGCATTTTGGTTAGCAGCCAAGCACACTCACCTTTGTACCACCCAGGGATCCCTTGTATGAGATACTTGAGGGCCCTTAAGATAGAGCACTTGCTGAGGTGGCAAAAGTAGGTGAAGTTTAACCTTCCTAATGTTGGATCATCCGGGTGGTGTTGATCACTGTTGGGGGAGGGGGGGCATTGAAAGCAGGTCCTCAGCTGGTGTAGGAAGAGTTCAGTAATGGCCATCACAACTTGGTGCCTGTATGAGTCTCGCCAAGAACATCGCTCTTCACACACCTTCCTTAAAGTTTCAGGAGCTAGATGAGGGGTGTGGTGGGGGCGGGCATTTAATTGCAAGGTTGGGGTGGGCAGCACCCCTTCAAAGTGGCAAAGGTCAATCAGTATCTTGAGCAAGCACAGCTCTTTGTTTCCCCCGAGATCAACCGCCATCGGAGCCTTGGTTGCTGTGCAATGCAGCCCATTTAACACAACAGTGTTGAGCGGTTTGAAGCCCTGTTTTAAAAGGGATGGCTCTGGAAACTCCAAACTTACTGTCCTCCAGTTGATTCCAACTCATAGCGACCCCCATAAGACAGGGTAGCCAGAAATGCCCCGAGGTTTTCCAAAACTAAGCCTTTATGAGATAACAAGCCTACGGTGGATTTGAAGCTAACAAACTTTGGTACTGGAAGTTGCTAAAATGCAGCATCAAAAAGCATCTGATTTTAGTAGTTTTTTACCTGGATTCCCTTGTATCTTTCTCGTCTTACCAGAAATGTTGAAGGCATTATAGAAGACAAATTTATTTTAGTGGGCAAAAAAGCCTGATCATTTTTGCTGCTGATATTTTTTAATCACTACTGCGTTGATCAATGCTTTGAGCCAGTTTGGTTATGGCTGACAAAGTGGAATTGAAGCAGACCTGGATTTTTGAAATTTGGGTAATAACTGGAAGGGGGAATATTTTGGAGGGAAGATCTGAAATGGGTGACGGGAAGGGGCCTAGTTAGCCTAAAGTTAGCTGCAGAGACTGAGACCCATAGTGGAGGGCCATCGTTGAGCAGGCCATGCCACTTTTGACTCGGCGGTGCAAGGTGCACACTACCCTTGATTTCTAAGAGAAATGTTACCTGCCTGCTGGGTGTCTCCTGGTATCGTTCTATTCCAGGGATCATTCTGGTTCACCCAGCCCCAATTTTTAAAATCCAGGTCTGGTTTGGTTTCACTCCCACAGCCATAACTGAACTGGAAGGAACCAGTTCAAAGTCCTAGTTTTGATGCAAAGCTTAAGAGCGAAGAAGAGCAACTCCAAGGAAATAGTGCGCTCGCCATTGTTACCACTGTCAGTCATTGGCGGACTTTGAGCAAATTAAGCCTCCATTTGTGATGTTCGGTTTTAGATACTTTCCTGAAACTGATTTATATATAACTGTGTCAGACCACGTGGAATTTGATATGGTGCTTTAATGTAGGAATATGAATTTCTCCCTTGAAGTTTTATGCTTTATTTTGGGGGAAAGGTAGTTCTGGAGGAGAACTCAGAAAATCGCTACCAGCTTTGAAAAAAGATGAAACCAGTTGGCATCAGAGATAAAATCTGAAAGCATTTCTACATTTGTGGCTAACTTTTTTAAAAAAAAGAAAGAAAAGGCGGAGGGGGAGGGGGATCTGCTTGATTCTGTTGGTGTTGCCACAAGTCACGCTGTGATCTTGTGAGATGGGATCTACGGGTAACTCGGTTTCATTCACTCAGATATTTTTAGATAAGATACTTTGAGTTAAACATTAGCTTTTTGGTTCTCAAGAAAAACATTATGTTCAGTAGTTCCTTCCCCACCCCCCTTTTTTTTCAAATAGTCCAGGATCTTTAACCTTCCCTTTCCTGTTTTGTCTTGAAGGTCGACTGAGCTACCCACATCCAGGGACGGACAGTCTGTTGATGTTAAATGGTACGTTTTGGAAAAACATTTTATGCGTTCAATTGATTCCATACAGATGTCTGAATGCATGCTTCCATAACACTCCCACAATGAGTCATTTTGTAAATGTAAAATAAAACTACCCTACTCGGACACAGAAAGAAGAATTAGGGGTCTGAGTGGACCCTAGTTCCGAATTGTGTGCATGTAAAGTGGCTATGGTATGTATTTGTAGCATTGCGATTTAATTTAGCCATTCCTGACTAGGCCTTCTTGCCAAGTCTCGGGGGGCTAAGTGGCCCCTTGGCAAGTAACTTCATTCCCAGGTACTCGGTTTCTCCAGATGGCAAGGGGGATTACGGTCTGTGGTGCATTTTGAGGGTTCAGTGGGCTATTTGCAGCTTGGTAACAGCCTTTTTGTTTCCGCATTAACTAGGACAGACTAGTGACTCTAACGATGGTAATCATCTTCACGGGTTGACTCTGAAGCTTTACTAGAATTAGAAAAAAATGAAATAAGCTTTCATTGAAGGTTTTCACCACCCCCTTTGCATTGAACACACAGTGTGACCTCCCACAGAGAAGGCCAAGACATAACTCATCCATGCGTGTGAGAGTGGGATGGGAGTAAAATATCCCTGAACGTATTTTTATTCTGAGGGTGCGTGGTGTGAAGGAAGTAGGGCAAGGAAGGAATATGTTGGACACAGTATTTACCTTAAAAAGCAGTCTCCCCTTAGAACAGCATTTCAACAAAACCTTTGTTGGAAAGAAGATAGTAGTGAAGATGGGGAAGAAAGGTTGTACGACAGATGAAAATAGAGTTCATGCTACCTCAGATGGTCAGGGCTAAGAGGATTTTAGGACTGAGAAACATAGAAGAAGCAAGCCCTCTCAGTTCAGGGGGTTAAGGCTGCTGTGTATAGAATTGCCCATGACAGTCCAACCTAGTCTGAGCCTTAAGCCAAGTGGTCACTGAAGCTTGGTGGGGTTCACTGGGGACGGGTGCCAGGGTGCTGACAGGCAGGCCAGATGAAGTGCTGTAACTAACCAGAGGCCATTCCGAGGCCGTGTTCAGGAGCCCAGCAAATTAGGGTACTCACACCGTTTTTAAACACAGAGCTACCAGTACTAGGAGTTGTGCCGTGGAAGATTAAAAAGACATTCATTTTTTGTGTATTGAACGCTGAATCTGACTAAAAGCTGTGTCAATGACAACAAGCTTAAAGAGAGTAGCTTATCATATTTAGTAGTCTCCGGGTTTAATTTATAAAATGACGTTATGTTTCCAAGCCTACTTCTGTGAAGTCGATGCCACTCGCAGTGACCTTGGGTGGGGTTTCCGTCCAAGACCTTGTTTTCCAGAAGGAGGTAGCCTCAGTTTTGTCCTGTGTGGCAGATGGTGGACTTGAACCACTGCCCTGGCCCAAAAGTTATTTGTATATGAAGGGGGTGTTAAAAAGCCTAGGGAAAAATTCCATGATCTTTTCATTCTATTTCTCCACACATTTTTTTAAGCCCCCCTCATAGTAATCCTAATTTCCTTAAATACCCGAAAGTCTTACTAGATGACGTGGCAAGTATTATTTACCTTTTACAACTTTTAAGTAAGCAATTTAATTGAAAAAAAATTTCTTCAACCATATTTCAAGGATTTAACAGTACAGTCTTGACACAGCACAGTGGGAAGATGCTCAGCCAGTAACCCAATGTCAGAGGTTCAAACCCACCAGCCATTCCATAGAAAGAAATGGCCATGTTCCTCCTGCTTCCAAAGGCAGCAGCTGGGAAACGGCCCGCGGAGAGGAGCTCCCCTCTGCCCTGCAGGGCTGCTGTGAGCCAGAATCAATGGCTACAACAGATAAACTCCACCGTGACAGGTTAGCTCGTGCACAGATGTACTTGGATTTCTAAATGGTCATGAGCCACAATGATCCAGAAGTATGTCATCACCATAATTTAAACAAAAGCACTTGGATTATGTGTAGACAAAAACTTAGTAGCCACACTGCTTTCACGACCTTTATATTTGTGGCCACAGGAAACATTACGAAAACTGTTGACATGGCAGTGTTTTATATTTCCACCCAGGGCTGCGTCTTGTAGTTGGTTTTCATTAGACTGGCTGAGCCACAAGGCACGCTCAGGGCACTGAGCCTCTCAGAAAGCGTGGACTTTGTCTGCGAACGTCCTTTGAGGAGGAAATAAGGTAATGATAGGAGGACTCTAAACTGAGAAGAGGCAATATTGATACAAAAAACAAGCAAACCCTATTTACTGTTTGGGATCAGTAGTCTAAGAGGGGAAGTAAGAGTCAGGAGTTGACATTAAGTGGATGTGGGTTTAAAGCCACCAGTTGTCCTCCAAAAAATATTTACATTCTCGAACATCTAAAGGGGCAGTTGTACTCTGTCCTGTAGGGTCGGTGTGAGAAACAACTTGATGTCAGTGGGTTTGGAGAGAGGGTGAGGGAAACGCACCCCCCACACACACACATACAAAGTATCTCACAGAAACTCACCATTAGGTCAGTGGTTACCTTGTCTATTAAAGCAACAAGCCTAGCTAATAGTGGTGGGTTCTGGAAACTATTATTTATTAAGAGATTAATACAGGAGTAATGGTTTAACAGTAGTGAAGACTCTGGAGCTAGGTTATCCGGGTTTAAACCCACCTCATTCTCTAACTGTGTAGCTGTGGCCCGCCACCCCCACCCCAACCCCAGTGTATCTCACTTTGTGTCTAAAATAATGCTAATGCTAGCGGACGGGTCTCACCTAGGGAACTGTGAGGGGAGGAGTTCATGTTAAGTATTGAGGACAACTGACAATGACTATGAACTAAGGTGCCAGGATCGGTGGGTGGTGGTAGTGAAGGCCAAGAGCCTTCTCTCATGAGTGGGAAACGCACACTTTGGACACTATAAAGGCACGAGAAGACAAAAACTGTCCTACTCAACAACAAAGGCTTCCTGCAGAAAGCTCAGCTCGCACCATTTGATGGGTATTACTTACATAGGGGCAACATTTGGGTGGGTGAAAGCAAAGTGGCGCGCAGGCAGTGCATCCCAAAGGGTGGCACACATGCCTGCCTGGTGGCTTTTGGTGGTGTACTCGGTGACATCAAGCCATGCCTGTTACCATCAGAGACTGTATCGTAGAAAACGCATACCAGGCAACATAGAAATGTGATGCTACAATGAATCTGGGTCTGAGTCCATTCACAGGAGGGTAGCATACATCGTTACACTGAGAATGGCAACTACTGGAAGGTTTTGTGTTTCCATTTTGTTGTCTGCCATCAAATAGACGCTAACTCCACCTGTTAATTAAGCAATTATGGCTGAGCTTTCCGTTTAGGAGGTAGGAGCAGGGGTGGGCTAAGGAGGAGGAGGAAGTTGACCAGAGTAGGTGAAAATGCAGAATGCCTCTAGCAAACCCTTAACTCGGAGCGTCTGTGGATTCACATATTTTTTAAAAAGTAGTGCCATATCAGGCTTGTTTATCTCACGAAGTTGTATAGATCTAATTCTAAAATACCAAACAACTGTAATTGCTGATAGACCTACTTCTGAACAGCTGAGACTTATCTGTACAGGAACAGGAAGCCTCATCTTTCTCCTTTGGAGCGCCTGGTGGGTTTGAACGGCAAACCTTGCAATTAGCAAGTAGCCCAAGCTGTAACCCTTGTGCTCCAAGGACTCCCTTCCTGAAGCCAATGAAGGTGGTGGAGATGGATATTATTTAATAATCCACATTGTAAACAAGTCCAAATTTAACATCCAGAAGTAGTTTAGGGAAGACACGTTTTTCATATATAAACAAACAGCCCAGCTACTTAACTACAGTCTGAAGTTAGAACGAAATCTTGGTGCACGGATGCCTAGTGCATTCATCTTACTGCTTTAGCTGTCAGTAGCAAATATTGGGGAGAAATCTCTCGTGGTAAAGAACTGTACAGAGGGATACATCATTCAAGTATTTGTCTGGGTTTCGATGGCATTGTAAGCTGTCTTCCACCCCCACTCTTAAGGGCAAACATTTTCAGCACTTATAATTTTCCTAAGGAATAGAGCAGAAGTCCAGGGGTGGCATTAGCAAGTTTGTTGGAAATTACCTTCCCCTTGATTACCCACACAGAGCTCTGTGGGTGATGTGTTTGGAGGAAAGACACTGTATTTTTGACAAGGGCATGGTGTTTCTAGAGGCAGAGTTCGTACTACACTATTGAGTCATGGGAACAGTGAAGGTGACATTGTCCTCATTTCCTTTGTATGTAAATGACAGTGAGGGGCATAGATAGTCGGAGCTGTTTTTCTCTGGACGGTGAGGACTGGGACCCCAGAACCAAGTTGTGAAAGTGCAGGCGGAGGGAGGGTCTCTTCAGGCTTTGTCTGGACCTGCCATATTAGCTCTATAAACCTGTGTTGTCTTAAAGAGCCAATTCCGTTTCTTGTTTATTTGTGTATAATATCAGTGCTTTTTTTAAAGTCTATGAAATATGTGTGCCTGATAGTTAAAGTTGTACACAGAATATCTAGGAAACAAAGTTGCCCACTGTTTTTCCTGAAAGGATGCAGAGAGGAAAACAAAGCAGCCACAGTGGGCGTGGTCCCTTCCTCATTGTTTGCTCTCAGAGGGTTTGTTTCTTGTAAATTGCAAGTCAGAGTTGGGGTGAAGAGCACTCCTAATTTTAACCCAGTTTAGAAGCCCAGGTGGGAAGGTGAGCACAGGAGCCATTGTTGGCTGTGACTGCCGGCATGATGGGCACAGGAAATGGGTCACATAATCTAGCTGCTTCCGCACTGGGCTGTTTTTGGTAACGGAGTAGTGCCTTGGGATCTGAGCACCATCCGAAAAATAAGTGGAAGAGCTCTGTAGAGGATTAAAAAATTACTCAGGAATGAGGTGCTTGGATTAAGTTTCGGAATAATAATGCCCAGGCCTAGGAAAGAGAGGAAAGCTGCTGTGAACGTTTGTATACCTTTTACTACCTAATTTTAATATTGAGCAGGATCAGCCAGAGTATAGCAGCTGTGGGCATGAATTGGTTATAATGTCATGCATTTCCTGGGTGGCTCTAGAGTTGTGTGCCCCATTGTGACTTCATTATCGTTCACAATGTGGTTGTAAACTTGATGAGACGTTTCAGGTGCTTTATCCATCTTGGATAAAATTCCCCGAAAGAAGTTTACAGATAGCCCACCCCCAGCCCCCTGGGGGTGAACAGGAAGCTCAGCCCCTGGGACAGTTGGGCTTTGTGATGCTCAGGGAGCTTCTTGACCTTCTCCAGGTCTACTGCGACCCTGAGAAAGCAGGCACCTCACTAACTTAGGCTGTCTTCTGTGTCTTTCCCCTTGATCAGCCAGATTTTCCACAAATGATCTCCCATCTCTTAGAGACCCTTTGGCCTATTAAGTTCAGAAGACACCTCATTAATGGTTCCTTGTACCCCCACCCTCACCCCAAACTATACCTAAGCCAGGTAAACTCTGAAAGAAATCTGTCAGGCTTTGAGGTTCACAGAACCTGCTGCCATGGATTCGGTCACTAAATGGAGTTCGGTTAGTTTAGGTGCAAGCTTGCAGGGGAGTGTCTGTAGGTATGCTTTATATTTGGCTGATGTCTTAGCAGTAACTTAGCAGGCAATAGGAGTAGATGTGTTGGCCCTTTCTCACAATCAATGCAGGATTAATCAATAACATTTCTTTTTGTCTCCCAGACCTAAAAATGAGCCTTTATATAGTCAGTTTTTTGGTTTATCTTCATTTCATAGATGACTTTTGGTAAAATGTTCATTTTTATACCCAGATTTTGGGGAGAAGAGTTAATAAAACAAAACACCTCTTGGATCATATCAAACTGGCAGTGGCATATTATAAGGAGATTGCAGTATATTTTCCTTTGTAAGGAAATGGGTAAACTGCTAGTAACGAATTGAAATGCCATTGTACTTTATTATTTCTACAGTATGTGCTCTATATTTAACTGAGATGGTACTAAGCAAGATTTGTATTTGAATCACTCTTCTGCCACAAGTAGAGATGTAAAACACTCAGTAGATAACTTAGGAAGCATACCAGGCCCGTGGAAAGCAGTACTCTATTATTTATCATTTTGTCAACTAAGCAAGTTTGAATGGACTGATTTGGGTCCGGAGTGGGGCAGGCATCCTATTTAAGTTGTCTTGGAAGCTTTGAGCATCAGCTAATAATATTCTATCTTCTTACTCTGCTCAGTCTTCAGTATTTCTTCCAGGCAACAGCTTGATATATGTAGATAGGATCTGAATAGATGTTTGTTGGATTATATGTGCCATATAACTCTACAAGAAGTAGAAAAATGGGAATTATATTCAGTTTGTGTCCATTCACTTGTAAAATTACTTGAAATGCTGTTTAACTGTAAAGTCTTACATATTCCTAGTCTGATAATATGAGCAAGTTTTTGGATGATGTTTTTTGAAACCTAATTGAGATTAAATCCACTTTAAATGTATTATTGATCTCAGAATCCAGATGATGAATTACATATAATACAACTGCTTTGTAAACGGTAAGGCAGTCTGCAAATGTGGAGTTACATTCTTGTCGTAACTCTTAGAACAAAGTAGCAGTAATTCCCAGATGCCCACGTAGCTTTTCGTATCGCAGATACTTGAACCTGTGGGCTGATTTTCTTGGTTCTGACATCTTACAATGTGTCCTTTGTTTACATGCAGCAAGGAGTTATGGGCGAAGACGAGGTAATTTACTTCTGCTTGCTATGCTATAACTGCTTCTAATTGGGCCTTTACTGATCAATGGTATAATTAATTTTTCCAGATTTACTACACAAAATCTGAAAATTCACAGAATTACATATTGATTTTGAGCACTTACATGTTACTGATTTGAATCTTAAATCTCTTTAACTTTGTTAACATGTTAGTACTAATGGTTTTACTGTTTTACTTTGAAAGTATTCAGATTTTTAACTGTTTTGAAACTAATTACTGTACTTTTTAAAAACAAAGTTGCTGTTGACAATTTACCCACTCGGGAAATAGCATTCCAAGAACAGCATTGAGGGCCATGTTCGCTCTGATTGTCATACGGTCTGTAACTGTGCTTTTTTTTGGACTTACCTTTGGTATGTAATTTATAATTACAGATTGCTACTTTTCATTTTGGACCAGTGGAGAATACCAAATAGATTATTGTTGGCCCAGACTTACAGAGCTCATGTTTGGAATATTTCTCAGTGTCTTATAAGAATGTAATTGTTCTCTGTCTCACATGCCACACACCCTGGTACACTCTGCTCCCATCTCCTCTACACACACCCCCTGGGGGGAGGGGAGGGGCGAGGCGACTGCTTAGAACCCTAATGGGAAAATCAGGGACTGTGTGATTTCAGACTGTTACTAGATTCCTCAAGAAAACATCTGTCACTTCTTTGTGGCTTAAAAATTTACCTCTCCTTTCCCTTTTATAGACATTGAGAGGGCGAGGGTGGATGGGATGAGAGGAAGCAAAAGTGACTTCACACAACTACACGATCCTCCCTCTACCTGTGCAATAACCCTGCTTCCATCATGCTGCGGTGGGAAGAGGCACTATCCTTTGTTTACATGTGTTGAATGACAAGGCTTCTCTTTGACAAGTGAAAATCGCCCTTGAACCTAGGGAAGATAAGCAAACCCGCAGCCATTGCATCAGTTCTGACTCATAACAGCCCTTCGGGACAGTAGAGCTGCCCCCCAGGATTTCCAAGGCTGTATATCTTCGCAGAAGCAAACTGTCACATAATTTCCCCATGGGCTGGCTAGTGGGTTCAAAGCCCAACCTTTGTTTAGCAGTCAAATGCTTAACTGCTACAACACCAAGGTCCTGCCCGGTAGCCCATGGAAGATGGGCAAAGTAACAGTGCCCTTCGGTGCTTGTGTACTGACCACAGGGTAAATGTTGGACTGCAGAACACAGGGTCAGCGGTTGCAGCCCATCATATGAGTTAGTCGGTGTTGGCAAAGACATAAAGCTGGTAGTTGGAATCACCTTGCTGGTAACTTTAGTCAAGAGTGTGTGTTCTTTGGGGGATAGGGGGGAAACAAGTAAAATGATTTGCCACTTACTGACTATAGAAATTACTATTTCATATGCTTTTGTGGTCTTTCTAGTTTTCTGTTTCAGATCAGAGGGATTTAACATCATGATCATCCAGCACTTTGATGAATCTCTTGGTTGGTCCTTTGGTTTTCTAACTAGAACTCTCTCACTCCCCTTTTTTTTTTAGCCTTGTGTACATACTTTTCATCTTTTAATTTCAGTGATTTATGAAAAAGTCTAATTTAAACCCAGTATAAATATGATAAAAGGAGTTCTTGGGATCAAGACATTAAACATGCGGCTGCTGTGTATCTTCCCTTCTCTCCATTTAATCGTGGTAGACGACATGTAAGCGGTTATGAAAAACAAAATGGTCTTGCCCTGCTTTCAGTTGGTAGCCTGTGTCCTGGTCCTGGGCGGTTTGGAGAGCCCCTTTCCTGGGCACCAGCGTTGGGAATGGAGGGAGGCCTGCCACGTGGTTTACGGTGGCTCCCTGAGGGACAGAACAGACATTGCCTGGTTAGTGGCACAGGGCTTCTAACAATAGCTGGATTTTCTGGTGGTATGTAGCATGCATGGTCTTTCTATCCACTCCTCTG